TCTACTATATAACATGCATGGGTGAAATTAACCATTTTTTTTTCATGTTGTAATGGGTTGGTCAAACACAACGATAATTGGAAAATAAAAAGTTGGTTACCACAAAAATTGTCTTCAATTAACACTAGAAGTATAATTCGGATTCACAAACTCGATGTCCTTATCAATTATTTTTATGGTTTTTTTTCCAGCCTGAAAGGTAATGGTGGTCTAACAAACATGTTAATATATTATGAATCATAAATAAATTGAGGTCGAGGTCCTAATAGTCTACCCAAAAGAAGGATGATCGCTAAGAACCTTACCCATTTTTGCTTATGGGAAAAACACCCCCGAGATTGACATGATTTTCAAAAGGTTCTACGAATTAGGGTACGCCCTGGGCCATTGACTCACTGTGAGGGCAGCAGTGCGCAAACCGTAGTTTATCTGCTGATCTGGTTAGGGAAGAGTAAGGTTGTGATGATTTTATGTACATGTTTTGTCATGTTCGTTATAGAGAAGAGTGTGTGTGTGTGTGTGTGTGTGTGTGTGTGTGTGTGTGTGTGTGTGTGAGAGAGAGAGAGAGAGAGAGAGAGAGAGAGAGAGAGAGAGAGANAGAGAGAGAGAGAGAGAGAGAGAGAGAGAGAGAGAGAGAGAGAGAGAAAGAGAGAGAGACTCGCAACATATAACGTGATAGTAATTGAGACCAAAAGGGAAAAGTCGAAAAAAAAAAACAATGATATATTTGAATACAATAGTTTTTTCTTTTCAAAATTATAACAGTGAGCATTTACTTCGTATTCGAATACAACGCACATGCATTATATTCAAAGCGTCTTCTATTTGTGAAAAGTGGACTGAGGGAGGGGGGAGGAACGGGGGTTACGCGCCCTTTCGTTTTTTTTTGCAAGACCACGACCAATACGGGTCATGCGTCTACAAGGATTATCCACCCCCTAGAAACCTCTGCCTGCAATTTTAAACCACCACGGCCTCCGATTGTGTTTTGTCGAACCTGAATTTACTTTCACAATAAGTTTTGTCAAGCTTGGGACCCAATTTCTTTTCTTTTTTGGTACTCACGACAATTACATTAAAAAAAAAACAAGAAAAAAAAATGGTAACTTTGGCACAATCATGAAACAATTTCGAACCTTTTTTGTCAACGAACACAAAACACCCTTATGTTACCCCACCGCACCTGGAACCTGGGTCGTATACATTCACCATTGGCGACCCTTTTGCCTCAAACGCATTTTCAAACTCAAAATTTGACTGCATCGTGGTTTTATCAAGAATAAAACTTCCCTAACGCCATTATAGCCATCAAATACATTATATGAGATGATAGTGAGACTGTACCCTCAGGGAGGGTGTTTGTCCACCGAAAAAAAATCAAGAACAAACAAAAGAAAAACATCCCTTATGTTGTGATCTCGGTCTAATACGGACGTTACAACAGTAGTGTGAGTATGAGATGAGTGAGGAAGTTACTTGCCCTGTGTGGAATACGCCCTGCCTCGCTGGCAGGGCAACGAAAGAAAACGAAAAGAAGGGAAAAAATAAAGCAAAAACAACAGCAATGAAATCCACACATAGTGGCCAGATACATTCCTCAAAGCATTGGTGTGACCTCCACCTCCGTAAGGGCCTTCCCCCGGCGTCGCTAAATTCTAAGTTTTTTTTTTTTTTTTTTTTTTGTTCCCTCACTCCGGCCCACAAGGCCCAAAATTTCCTTTGCTGCCGACCCTACGTCGGACCCCCGAACTTTTCGGATGAGGTCATTTTTCCAAATGGGAATACATGTTGGAAAGGTACTGGCAGTAGTTTAACACCCCTCCAGGGGCCATTTTGGGCCAAAAGGAACGAAAGAGGAAAATTATTCAGGTGTATAAAGGCAACCTTTGAGCTAAACTCCACCAACGCAAGTGACATTCATGAGGTATTTGTTCAATCCTCATTGACCTCAATTACCTTCCTTGGCAAGCTTAGCGCCCGCCACCTAAAGATATGTCGTTGGTCCCCCCGAGTGGCATTGAGCAGCGACTGCTGATGTTCATAGGGGGAGGGGACCAAAGGGAAGGCACAGTGATTGACCCATCGAAGAAGCTCGGTCCTAATGCTACCGGCTGACCCCTGACCAGTATCCCCTCCTGCTGTAGCAGGTATCACACCTGCTGGTGGGTGCAACTCCCGCATGTTCCCTCGTTGGGGGCTTGAGCACGAACGTGACTGCTACAGGGTTCCCCTTAATACTATAATGACAACAAGTAAACGCCCCGCAGCTACGCTGCGGCAGGGGAAACGTACGTGATTGAAGAAGTGAATTTTCCATCAGAATGAGAATGAACACAAAAATGTATGAAGTTTTGACACTGGAAACACTCTCTCTCTCTCTCTCTCTCTCTCTCTCTCTCTCTCTCTCTCTCTCTCTCTCTCTCTCTCTCTCAAAGATCAAAAGATTTGAGGTGGCGACCATGCTCGCTGCACATTTTTTATCCCCTTCCATCTCATGCCACCGCACTGACCAAGAGGTAAGTCTCCAACCCTACGGCTATCGATAAAATGAGCGAAATCGAATGAATCTTCCGCTATAATATGGAAATATACACTACTACTTTCCTACGTTATGCCACTTTTCTCTCGATCACGTTGCCAGTTGGCTACGCTGTGCCACTATCCTCTCGATCGTGTCGCCAGTTGGCCACGTTCGTAGTGCTTGCTATGTCGCTCTCTTCTAGGTCATGATGCTAGGCGCCCTGCCACGTCCCCGCCCCTGCTAGCACTTGCTCTCCTCTCGATAGCTAGTGCCTTGCCAACTGACTACGGTATGACCCTCTTCTCTTGATCGTTCTCTCTCTCTCACAAAAAAAAAAAAAAAAAAAAAAA